AATGTATCTATAAACTGTATCTAATTTGCATATTAATGTGTTTTTGGGGCAACATAGAATGAACAAATAAGTGCAATAATGGGAGTAATAATTAGCAAGATTTTCATAATAATATCTAATATTTAATAGGAATATTGATGCATATTTTTTTCTCTATTCATTTGTTGTGTCTCCCAAAATGTGTAATAAACATGCTTTAAGTCCTGGCGTCCTCTACAGTGGACATGTATGAAATCGACGTCCTGTTTCATAACAGATGGTCATATTTTGATTTGAAACCCCATAACATTTTCCTGAGATGTTGATTTATGACAAACAATTTGAAAATTAGTCAGATTTAAATGATAATTACAAAATATGATCATATTTCCATAAGGGTGTTACACTTGACCACTAAATTAATGTCAGCCATTTTTAAAAACCAAGGAGAGGGAGTGGTCAAGGTGAAACATCCAATCATTTGGGATCTCAGAGAAATCACTAAAACATAATGTCCTCTACAGAGGACAAAACTCCATAGCTGGTAGTCAGGAGGCTAAGGGAATGGATTTTAACTCTAATTTTTAAACCTTTAAAGACAATCTGTGAAGTATGAGGTTGTCAATTGATGGTATATGCTTACACTGAAGCCATCAGCCCGCATGATTTCAACTTATTTTTTAAATAATCATGTTTTACAGTAAAATTCCTGATGGAAAAACTACATTACCCATGATTCTGCAAAGAAATTTCCACCAATCAAAAACTGCAACAAACAAATCATATCAAAACACTCTTTACACCCACCCACTCCAATTCAGTCTCTCAAACAATATGCTTTGTAATAAACGTAAAATACATTGTTTGTATATACAAAATCAACATCTTTGAATAATAATCTCCACTGTTTTTAATTTGATTCTGTCATTCCCAATATTTCATGAGACTGTTTCCCTCATTGAAGCGATTAGTACACAGTCCTGTACAATTTTCAAACACATTTTTGCTTTAAATCGAATTTTATGCACGTCGTAATGTTGTGATTCACTTCTGTAGCTGGTTTGTTTGGTTTAAGGATTATAATTGTTTTTTTTAAATCTCTATGGGAAAATAGAAGCAAAATACTTCCGGAACCAATAGTAAGTGGGAACCGTTGCACTTTTTATTTTCCGTCATGCACAGCAATGCATTCAAACTTCTTAACGTGAAACCGGCACTATTTTCATGTCCCAGACTCTCTCTCGTTATACACAAATGCAACTGCCGCCATTTTGAATCTTAGTTGTCGACCGCAGTGAAAATAAACTCAGAGAACTTTAATGTCAATAATATTATTCTATTGTTGCAGTGTCTATTTTTTTTCTTAGCGGAAGCTTTAAGACAATATGCAGATAAATTAATATCAACTTAAATCAATATTTCATGTCCATTTATTTATTTACTTATTCGCGTCTGCATCCTTATCACCTGGTCGGGGTTTATTTTGTGATCATTACCAGCTGACTGTACATTATCTCTTACATAGCAACTGCAACTCTCAAATTAAACAACAATGCTGACATGCATGACAAGATGCCCAATGTATTTCACATCTATAATAACGTATCAGATCCATCCAGAAAGAACTGAAAGACAGAGAAAATCATTGGCATGAAAGTCTATTGACACCAAGCTAGATTGTAGTCTCAGGTGTGTGTCTAGATATCGGAAAAGGGCTCCCAGATAGGGAGGAAGAGGAAGTACAGGGGCCCCAGCCTGGAAGAAGGCCTGATGCCGGACGAGAGCCCACAACTCTGGGTTGCACTGGGGCCAGGGTCTGCTGACTGCCGTTCATGCAAATGGAGCTGGTGTCTGTGTAGACCTGGTTATCCGAGCACTTCTGGACACGGTAGTTGTATGCCCTCCAGCCCTGTTGTTTCCTCTGCTGACACTGGCACTGCAGGATCCGAATGAAGGCCTGCTTGAACTCACGACTGTAACAGGGGTAAATAATGGGGTTCAGGCAGCTGTTGAAGTAGCCCAGCCAGAAGATCACTTTGAAGAATGTTTCAGGAGGACGTAAACTGGTGTTAAACGACCCTAAAAATAAGAGAAATAAAAGGGATTTTTTTGTAAACAATATGCATGCACAATGCGTTTTCATCTTTTACCAATAGATGGCAGACTTTATCAACTCACATGTACTGTACAGAAATAACTTAAAGAATCAACATTTTTGTAAATCTTTATAATCTTAGTGACAATAAACATATTTCTCCCCAAATTCTCATTAACGTTATGTGAACAGATATTTTACTTGAGTGTGTCTTATTAGTCTAATCACTGTAACAATACAAATATATATATATATATATATATATATATAAACTATCACAATGTGTACAAATACTTTTTTTGCATTTTAAAAATGCAAATGGCATGGGAAAACATTAACTGTCATTAAAATATGACACACACACACACAACTGATATAAATCTATATAATATATAAACAGTATTAAATCAAATTTATATAATAATAAAATGTTCTCAATAAAAGTTGAGCAAAAAATATAATTTCCTTATTTCTTTGTTCCCTATTTCTTTGTATATGTTCTTGACAGGTTTCATGAAATTAAGTTTTATCTGTCATATTTCTAAGTCTCTAATTCAACATTAAGTCTGTCTCTGTCTTAAAAAGTAAGTCTATTTTTGAACACTTTCATCCTGTCATAAAAAGCATAATTTGAATAACCTGTTCTTTACTGTGCACTCTGTAAGCTTTTATTAAAATGGTTATCTTAAGTTTTTCCAAAATCTGTCTCATGAGGAAGATTTATAGTGCTTTTACAATTTTAGTCCAGCTACAACCAACAATCTATTTAAAGAAACAAGCCAAAAAAAATCGGTCTATTCTAGAGGTCCCATTTTCAAACTGGAAATCTTTCTTAGGTTTTTACTCCCCCGGTCTCCAAAACATTTTAAAAAAGGTCACACAGATCCATCATGCTTTTCCAGACTCTGACTGTAGCTCATCTCCGCTCATGAGTTTACTAACTCACTCTTCCCTGAGGAATTCACCATTTTCACTCGCCTGCAAATGCCTGATGTGCAGTCCATACCCATTTTTTTTGGGCTCTGATCTTACTAATTAGACAAAATAAGTAAACAAAAATAACTCTGTTAATCAGAAAGTTTCAAAGTTATGTGCTTATAATAATTCATCTGTCAGGAACAGGATGGACGCCTGAAGTGAATGATTTGATCTAATTCACTATGGTATGTATCAGTACAGAGCCGGATGAGACTTGGGTTCATTACCACACTTCAAGAAGAGCCACAGGTGTGAGGCCTGCAGTCAGCTCCTATCTCTGCCAGTAAGTGAATTATTCCATTACGTTAAGATGTTCTCGCCTCTTCCTTCTCTAAATCACATGTCACTCAGACATCTCTCAGCCAGAGCAGCTATAAATTTAGACAATCTGCGCTATAAGAAGTCAACAAACAATCTTGGAGCAACCTTGTTCCTTTAAGCAAGTGGTTTCTGTTCTGTTGTCAGATGACATTTAGAGAAACCTTGCTGCTTTGTTATTTAGTTGTTTAGTTCATCTGTGATTAAATCTAGTCTGTTGAAATCATTGCCAAAATAGTACGAACTGTCCTTAGAAAACATATTACTTGATGAAAATGAATTATTCTGCAGCAGAAAGCAAGTAAATTAATTTTTGCAGCCTTTTGAGCTTAATCAACACTCAAAGCATTTGTGGAAATAAAACATAATAGATACTGTGATTAAAAATATGACAGTTAAAGGAAGTCAAATATTCGCCTGCGGACAGTAACTATCATGACCTAATCTTGATGCAATGCAACCAGAAATGACAATCTTCTCAAACACCAGTTCATTTCAAAATTCATAACATGGCATATGAAAACAAAGGCCACTCAAAGAAGGGAAGTTAACTCCTCAAGGTCGAACACATGGAATATATTTTCCTTCCAAATATTTCCTTACTCATTTGCAAGAAAAACATATCGGCCCATCTGCTAATATGACTCTTTAGAAGGTCACTGGGAGCTGAACTTCTGGGTCATAAAGTGAATATAGGAGGGTGATTAAATTTTGACCAGATTTTTCTGTGGTGGGAATAGTACCTCTCCTATATTCCCACACCTCATCAGAAACCTCTGGGTTAAGATAGGGAGTGAGCCTGGGAATGAGAGTGTTCTGAAGACATTGGCATCTCCAATGCATTCCACCAGGAGACTTTAGCAAGCTTCAGGGACCGGCTCTGTAGTGACTCATCCATTGCTGAATTAAATGGCCACACATCAGGTTAACATGACAGACGTTGCTTTCACTTCAAAACAACACATTCATGAATAAAGGCTTCATACGTCATAAATTATGTCTTTGCAATGAACCTTCTGCATCTGTTCCACTGGCTCTCATTCATGAGAGAAATTGAAACTGTTCATTTTGTGAGTAAACGTATTGAACTTTAACAGTTTAAGATGTTTTTGAATAACAACGAGAGGTCTGAGCTGGGTACCACAAACAGAAAATGAATTTACCAACGGAGCGTTTGAGCTGGAGACGTGTAGTTTTTCCTGGCAACAGGATCACATTCTAAAGTGTCAGATATGAACCTATCTTGATATTCAATCTGTAAAATTATTGCTATGATTATTTTAATCATTATTTGACTGTTCATCATTCAACTGTAACAGCATTGCATGTTAGTAGTAACTACTAAACTAAAATAAACTATAAATATGCCATTATTTAAAATATAATGCACCATGATATTGTATGATTTTTATGATAAAATATAGCATGATATTTTAAGATGTGGTCTCTTGCAATGCATGGAGCAATACCAGCAAAGTACCACAATGAAAGTGTAAGACAGGCCTAAATATGTTCCAAAATATATTCAGCTTGTACATCTTTCTGGTTCCCTCTTTAAGTGTGATATAATGACATGCTTCTACAGCTTATAGAATAATGTGCATGCATTCCACTGTTAATCATCCACCACAGGAACGGCTGTAATTGGAAAGAAATTCCACAGAAGACACACGCCGCTACAAATATTTATAAAAATCTAATTATTGTGGTAATGTCACATGGGTTTGTCTCTCATTTGTCCAACAAGGTTGAACTTTATTTCTTATGATAGATTAATGAAATAATGGGGCATCCTGCACAGACTGTCTCAAACTGTATGCCCTGGGACTGCTTTATATCAAAACAATAACACTATGCAGGAGTGTTCAGATCTAGGATGAATGAACTAGGCTAGACTTTAAATGTTCTTTTAGGTGGGACAGATGATCAGCTTAGCAAGCTTATAGTTATATATTTGCTATAATTTATGAACTACAAATCTGATTTATAGATGATGGATCAGACAGACTAGCTAGTGGGAATCTTGATCAGGCTGGTAGACCACACTGGACCATTAAAAACATGTTCTAAAAACACTGTTTTTACAACAAGGACATAGACCTAATTTGACAAAATTCTATTTTTTGTCACTTTTTATGTAATGTCACATGGGTTTGTCTCTCATTTGTCCAACAAGGTTGAACTTTATTTCTTATGATAGATTAATGAAATAATGGGGCATCCTGCACAGACTGTCTCAAACTGTATGCCCTGGGACTGCTTTATATCAAAACAATAACACTATGCAGGAGTGTTCAGATCTAGGATGAATGAACTAGGCTAGACTTTAAATGTTCTTTTAGGTGGGACAGATGATCAGCTTAGCAAGCTTATAGTTATATATTTGCTATAATTTATTAACTACAAATCTGATTTATAGATGATGGATCAGACAGACTAGCTAGTGGGAATCTTGATCAGGCTGGTAGACCACACTGGACCATTAAAAACATGTTCTAAAAACACTGTTTTTACAACAAGGACATAGACCTAATTTGACAAAATTCTATTTTTTGTCACTTTTTACTTTTTATTAACTTTTTTTGCTTATAAGGTGCAGCAAACATTTTTGCTATAAAATTTAAAACACTGTTTCGCTTATAATCTGATCTGTCAGTGTCTGTCGCTCACATTTAAATTATCCTAAATTTAGTTTTGGTACATTTACATTTAGCACCACAGAAACTCACAGGCTGAAAGTAGGCTATAAAGCTTTTATCTATTTTGAATCACGAAGCTATAGAATTTACAAAGTTTACAAAATAGCTCAAACAAGTGAAACATGTAACTGTAAAAATGTTGAATGTAAAATAAAATGAAGAAATTATTGACTTGTTGACCAGTGCAGCCTGGGAGGATTGAGATCTATGTAATAATACCTAAAAGTTGGGTTATAATTAATAAACCACCATACGTACCGATGGGTAGTGCGAGGAAAAATGGTAACCAGCACAGGATGAACATGCCCACAACAACACCAAGCGTTTTAGCAGCTTTCTTTTCTCTAGAAAACTTGAGTAATTTGACTGTCAGCGAGCTCCTCATGTGGCCTTTGCTGCAGTCATCCTGCGTCTGAGAGCCTTTATAATGAATCCGAAGCGTCAGCTCATTGGAGTCCATGCGCTCCTTCATCACTCCAGCTTCGAGGTTTTTCGTGGTTCTTTTGGCAACTACATACACGCGACAGTACATGGCCAGAATCACCGCTAACGGGATATAGAAGGAGCCCAGCGAGGAGAAGAGCGCGTAAAACGGCTCCCCTGTGATGAGGCACACAGTGTCATCCTCTGAAGGAGGCTCTTTCCACCCGAGCAGAGGTCCTATGGAGATGACAAAGGCAAGAACCCAAACACCCAGCATGGCTAGGAGCGCCCTTTTCTCGGTCACAATGCTCGGGTACTGCAGCGGGTAACGCACCCCGATGTAGCGGTCTATGGAGATCACGCACAGACTCATGATGGATGCGGTGCAGCACAGCACATCCACCGCAGCCCAGATGTCACAGAAAATCCTCCCGAACACCCAGTAGTTGAGAATTTCACGCGTGGCGGACACCGGCAGAACAGTTGTGCTCAGCAACAAGTCTGCAATGGCTAAATTGATGATGAAGTAGTTGGTTGGGATGCGCAGGTGCTTGTTGCACACTACGGAGAGAATAACGAGAATGTTGCCCACGATAGCAAACACAATAAAAGCGCCCAGAACCATGCCCAGTGGAAGCGCACGGCTGAGGCTGAACGAGCTCGGTTCGGTCCCGTTGCCCGGGGAGCTAGAATTGGAGACGGCGGACAGTTCGGAGGAAGCATTACTCAAGAAGTTCACGGCATGATCTGTATCAGAACTCATCTTGCCTCTGCAGTACCTCCATACCAAAGTAAGAGCAGTATTTACCTACAAATGCGCAAATTGTTACTATTTCTGCATGCCAAACCAAAAAAAAAAAAAGATAAAAAACGACCGCTTCAAAGGATCCGTAAGCTCTGTTGCGCAACAAGTGCGAAATAGGAAAAGTCCATAATTGTAAACGTTGGATAAGGTCCAGTTGAAGATGTGCGTGTCCGGAACTTGGTTGGCCGAGTTCTCCGCAGCGTCTCTCCCGGTGTTCCCGGCTGATCCAGCGCACTGCCGCTGACCACTCCTGCATTCACCAAACCCCCTCCCCTATGGTGACTATACAGGCAGTCACGGCCTATTAACCTGTTCACTTGGCAAGCCACTGTAACCAGTATCTGCTTGTTTTTCTGATAACCAACTAATATTGATTTATTGTCACACAATCCCTCATTGTTACACATTGCACGTATTTACTATAGTAACAGTACATTATGTATAATTACAACTAACCCTAAACCAAACCCTAATCCTAACCCTAAGTACATGCTGGTTATTAATTTTACTCAGTACTTAATATGCAATTACATTGTAACAAGAACATGTTAAAATAAAGTGTAACCAACTTTTTAACTGAACTATAATTTAGCCACTTACAAATTGTAAATACTAAGTAGTATAACTGCTGAGATAAGAAATGTTACTAGTTCCAAAAACAGGCACTACAATCGGTTACACTTTATTTTAAGGTGTCCTTGTTACAGTGTAATTATGCATTTAAGTACTGAGTAATATTAATTAACTACATATACTTACTATATGGTTAGGTTTAGGATTTGAGTTTGGCTTAGGGTTACTTGCATGTAATTATGCATAATTAATTGTTATTATAATAGTAAATACATGTAACATATAACAAGGGCACCTTAAAATAAAGTGTTACCCTACAATCAAATAAATGCATAGTATAAGTTATAGAAATATGAATCAGTGCCAGCAATATTTCAAATACAGTCAAGTCGGAAATGAATAGCTGATATCTGAACCATTATTTATCACTGATGATATTCAATGGCACAAATGTGCGATTTGTCACCAGAAGCACTGAATAGTGACTATGTGACTATTTTAATAAATGTGAGTCACAAGTAGAAACTGAAAAAGATACAAGCCACGATTGGATTATTTACTGGTAATATAAATGTACTCACATAAAAATAGATGGTACTGTAGTTTATTTTAAAGAATAAAATGGTGCTTGTCATATACACCTTTTTAGCCATCCTGCTGACAGATATAAATTATAATAAAGGGGTCACTTGAGCTTCACAGCGTGCTGTCAGGTAATGCAATATATTGTCAACTGGAAAGCATGCCAATGGACATACCAACCGCTCTATTCTTAGGATCATCTGCAATTTAAAACATGGAAAGCTTGCAAACAATATCAAGGTTGTTGATGCATGGTGGTATCTAGATGCCCATTTGAGTCCCACAAGGACTGTGCAGTTATACAATACCAATCTGTCACACATGCCATATGTCCACAAGTTTCTAAAAACATTTATTTTTAGATATTAAGTACCACTTTTAGTCCCAAAGCACATTTTCTAATGTCTGGTCCTAATGTAGCGCACAAATGAACTGCAGAAAGCACAAAGTCGTTCACTGGCAAAGGTCTGCACGCTCTGCCATCTTTAAAGACTGCCACGAGTGTCCAAATATTCCTGCAAATCATCTGTAATTTTATAAACTAGCCACTAACCCAATCTCTTCGCAAATGCCAGCCAAACAGGAATATACTTTGACAGTGATGAAGTACTTAAATGGCTTGCGCCAAAAAAACAGAAAACAGATATCTCAAACAGATGGATGAAAACCCCCAGAAGTCAACTCATTTATACAGATATCAAAATAAATTCCAGTTAGCCAGAACTGTGAAAAAGGAAACAAGCCTGCTGTCATGCAGGAATATCCTCGTTGTGACAATATTAAATAAGCCTTGCTATTAAAAATTCAGACTCTGAGAGATTTTACAAAGTGAGGCCAAACCTTAAAGATTGTTTATTACAAAGTGAGTCTAAGGAGTCTTAAACTGCACTCCCACCAGAGGCTAATAGGAAACAGCAGAGCATGTGACGTGAAGGGGAAAGTTATATCCTTTGTGGATGGGTCGGTAGGTGATGGCACCAAATGTATGGCTGATGCATTTCAACCCAGACGCCAGTGCTGAGCTCAGGAGAAACATCAGCCAGACCGCTGTGTGACCAGTATACACGCATGCACACATACCCCGTGGCACTGTATAGCTCTTGAAAACCATCCAACTATTAGCTCAAACACACTCCAAGTGAATTAAGGCCATTACATTTAATACCATCGCCGCTTTGGATGATGAATTGCAGAAGGTAATGTGACGTGAAAGGTGAGATTTAAAGGCAAGAAAATGCTGAGTTGTCAGCCGTACCACGCCAAACTGCATCATCTTCTCATCAAACAGCAGAGTGACAGTAGATATAGCCTACTCCATATCGGATAATTCTCTTGAAGGAATTACATTTACATTATAGCCACAGTGTATAAGTATCTGTCTTGAATAAAGAATTGCTTTTAAAATAAAACCAAAATATTAATTGTTTTGTGAAAAGATAAACATAATAATAAAAAAAGAAAAGCGAGAGGTGTTTTGCGATTCTATGCAGTGCACATAATTAAGTGAGCATAATAAAGCATGGGAAGGAAGCGTAATTAGTAGGCATCCTGTGAAGCCATAACATCACAGATGTCAAATTGTTTTGCTCATCTTCCATAAGGATGAAAAACACTTTTGTCTATAAAATGGGCTTATTAAAATTCATGTTGATTAGTCTTTACCAGTGAGACTGATTTAGTTTGAGGCCCAGATTTTGAATTAGACATCAATTGGTGACCCAACAGTACAAAATATAAACAAAAATGTCCTTAGAAATCAAACACCTACATGTATTATTATATCTTTAATTATTAAATTGTGAAAATATTTATATTTGTTTTTACATTTTGGTTTCTACATTTTATGAGTTGACGATTTTGTAATAATCGGAAAATACTGAGCATGAAGGTCCACACTTGGCTTTTTCGTTTTCATATATTCAACAAAATTCAGCCAAAACATAAAGCAGTTATGAATTCCCACGAGAATGTGTTGTGGCGCCAACTATTATTTGGAAATCCAACTATTAAAGGAATAGTTCCCCCAAAAAAGAAAATTTGCTGAAAATGTACTCAGTATTGTTGATTAGTATTATTATATCTTTAATTATTAAATTGTGAAAATATTTATATTTGTTTTTACATTTTGGTTTCTACATTTTATGAGTTGACGATTTTGTAATAATCGGAAAATACTGAGCATGAAGGTCCACACTTGGCTTTTTCGTTTTCATATATTCAACAAAATTCAGCCAAAACATAAAGCAGTTATGAATTCCCACGAGAATGTGTTGTGGCGGCAACTATTATTTGGAAATCCAACTATTAAAGGAATAGTTCCCCCAAAAAAGAAAATTTGCTGAATGTACTCAGTATTGTTGATTATTGTGATGTTTTTATCAGCTTTTTGAACTTTCTTCTGACGGCACCCATTCACTGCAGAGGATCCATTGGTGAGCAAGTGATGTAATGCAAAATATCTCCAAATCTGTTCCAAATCTTAGATGGTGAGTTAATTTTCAGCAAAATTGTATTTTTGGTTAAACTGTTCCTTTAAGTTTAGCTTTACATTTCTTTAGAGAAGTAACACCAGCTGACTATTTATTTGTATTTTTGTAAACTAAAAGTTCAAACCTAGGATCATTGGAAAAACATGGCGGTGGCGACGTTTCTGATACTGCATTGCTTCTTGCATGTTTAGCGACACTTTCAAAGTGAAATGTCCAGTGAGTGGTGCTAAAAGCTTGTTCATTTTTATCCAAAACAAATGAACGTGAATCAGGCAATGTTTTACTATGTTGGTTGTTGTACGTTTTGCAGCAGTTCGGAAATGAAATGTCCGGTGAGTGGCTCTACAAGGTTAATGCTCGTTTTTCATGAGGTACGGTTTTAAAATGATGATGTTACAAAGTGCCCATGGGTATTTTAGGATTAGGACTCCTATCATCATCTGTTTTCATTTACAGTAGTTGAGTTTAAATCTTGTAAGCCTGGTTAGAACGTTTTACCATCTCAGGGACACTTGAAGTACACAGTCACTGTCACACAGGTATAATTAGTATGATTTTATTTAATCATGTACAAATGAGACAGCTGAGACTGGTGGTTACAATATGATGGTCTCCATTAGGATTTCAAAAAACATGAATCCTCCAGTCTTGTATGAAGGGCACAGACCACTGTGGAATCCAAGCTTTTCTGAGCAACTCCAGTTATGGAAGCAATGAAAACTCATCGTAATTCATCTGTCTGGATTGTGGCCAGACATTTAGCTGCAAGGCAGGGCTGTGAGGGTTTTGGTGAAACAGGCAAATAATATTATGCTCAAATTCTGTGGTTAGGTATATATAGATAAATACAAAGGTTTGTTTAATAAAGTAAACTTGAAACTTTCCGGTTAAAATGTATGCTGTCTCAAATGAAATTACAAATATTGTTATGCTATTTAACGCCAAAACAAAAAGCTGATTTTAATCCTTGAAATGAATTCCTCTTGAACACTGCTTACAAAAAAAAACTCTGTGATGGAGATAATAAAGCTAGACAGTTATGTAACTCAGAGTCATGATATAAAAATGTATTTGCTTACATGTGTGGGAACATTTGAATTTTGCTGGTGCCCTGCTATTTCAAAATCCTCCCTTTGCAACAAAGCAATTGTAAAATGACTGGTGTATAAATATTACAACACTGTAAAATCCAATAGTTTACCTTACTTAGATTTAATTAGTTATCTTTACTTAGTTGTTATACTTACTAGGTTTTATTAAGTTACAGCTACTTTCAAGGCAAATAAAACAATTTACTTACTGTTTTGAGTGACA